CTCAAAGAGGCAGGTTTCAGCACCAATTTTCAGGCGCTCTTTCGAGTAGCGTCGACGAATGTTCCCGATGGAAGAGTAAATTCCGATAAGAATTCAGCTACCAGCGGCCAGAATGGAATTTTCTCGCTCATATTTTGCCCATCGATAGGTTTTGGCAAGTAACTAAACGTGACGTAGTTTGCTTTCAGAAAGGCCGGTTCTAGTTGGAGAAAATCGATAAGATCTATTTTTGCTGTCGGCGACTTCAAATCAGCCAAAATTTAAGGCAAAATGGACCGTTCTCAAAACTTCGCTTGCATGCAAAAGGGAAGGAAAAAAAATGTAAAAACTGGCTTGGGTAATTCAGTTTGCGCTTCACACAAACTCTCCGAAGTTGAACAAAATTTGGTTGAAATATAAGACCTAAGTAGCGGTTGTTGGTGTTTACGACGGCTTGCCGCCACTGTCGAAAATTTAACTCGCAAGAACTTGTTAACAGATTGGCCGTTTTTATGCCACAAAGGTTAAAGTTGTCTAAGACGTTAAAGTCGTCTCGAAACGACTTTAACGTCTTAGACAACTTTAACGTCTCTAGCGTAAAAACGGCCTTTTGTGTTTAAAAAGATACCTTGATGTCTTACCCTTTTCTGGTTGACTTTAAATTTGTCTCGGGCAATTTGCTTCCTTGTTATCCTTGTTTCCTCTTCCCAAGTTATGCTCAACAAACTTGAGGCAGCGAAGCTTCTAACTTCACCCGGGAACTTCAGCAGTCGAGCATTTTATCGAAGAAATTAGATTCGATCAATTAGATCTTTTCCTTTCGATCCAATTTTTACATCGGAAAAAAAAAATTTTCTTTGCGAATGTCTTGAGAATATTTATCACGGGACAGTGTTCTCGGTCTCTCACAGTCTTATATGTACAATTTGCTATTTTTTAAAATAGATGAACTGAATTGGTAATTGAACTTTCTGTCGAGGCTTTTTGGTCTGAAATTGTACTTGTGATTTCAAATCTTATCAGATACGGGGCAAAATTACTGAATGCTGATTGACTGAGATAGAGGGCATTTTTCTTAATCACGAGGGCACTTTTGGTAGTTAAGAGGGCACGATTACCTGATGCCGATTGAGCCCTTTTGCTGTTTGCGGCAAAAATTGACTGCAATTTAACGGAGTGAAGCTTTGTAACATTGTTGCCTGTATTATGAGAATAAAATGTTCATTGAGTCTATTGTTCAGTTACGTTTGTTTCGACATTGAAATAGCTTCATCGCGCGTAAATTTTGCGACCTGGCTAAAAAACCTCTCCTCTTCGAGTCATTAACCAAATAATGGCGCACAGACATATCCCGATTAGAATTAATGTGCATTAAAGATGGCCTTTTCAACTCACTTCACAACAGAGTCCTAAAAGAGTAAAAGTGCTGATTTCTGAGCAAATAGTAAATGTATAGGTAACTTCCTCGGGAAAATTTCATATCGGAAGCTAAAAATGATCCGTTGTTTGACGTATTTGCGGTTTGAGGAAACGACTCTACACCTGTAATTTGTTTAATCCTGGACTGTACGGCCTTTTACGAAATGCGCCTTTGTTTTGTAAAGCGGGTGCGTGCGAAGCCTTTGATAACAAATATATTTTTTTCTAGTTTAACTCATGCTTACGAAAATGATAGATTTTTTCTCAAAAGAGTGGCTTTACGCTTAGCCCCACTTCAAAAGTGTGCCTTTCTGGACCTTATTAATCATTAATATTAATTTACAGGTTTAACATGCTGTGAAACTTGAAAGGTAACTAGTGAACCTAAAAGATCGTCAACCGATGCCCTGTTGGTAAACGGCAATGAAGAAAAGAATTTCAATAACGACATAGATGAGCCTAGAAAACAACTTCAGCAAAAATACCAACAACATTACGAGTAGCAGCATCAACCCTGAATTCTTAGTGACGTGAACAAAACAGTCAGAAGTGGACCTGGCACCAAACGATGTACAAACCACACATGGAATACGAAAAGCTGGAAGCGGAACCTGGAGAAAGAACTTCAATCTGTAGCAGACTAACGTTTGGCTTTTTATCGAGTATTATCGAAACAGGAAGCAAAACGATATTCCTTCCCTAGATATTGAAAGCACCAAGTATTTGACTGAAAAACTGGAATTAGAATGGAAAAACCAAATTGAAATTGGTAGAGTCCGAAGCTCTAAACCTCGTTTGAGAAACGCATTCCTAAGGGCCCTCGACAAATACTTACTGTCTCTGATTGTGCTACCAGCAAATTTAGAGTCGTTGTGTACAATGGTTCAGCCTGTCCTACTAAGCTTTCTCATGGTTGAGATGTCCTATAATTCCCCCGTCGATGTGGGGATGCTACTTGTTTATTCAACACCGCTCTGTGTGAGCTGTTTTATTCAAGCTTTGGTTTCCCATCAAGGTAGTTATGCCATGTTTCTAATGGCAGTTCACGTTAAAGCCTCCTTGATTGGCATAGTTTACAAGAAGGTAGGTGGATGGTGAGTTTTTGCCGCTTAACTGTCAAAATAAGTTAAGCTTAACCAGCGAAGAAACTGTGAATAGATGTCGCATCTGTCATCTGATAAGCGAATATGTATTAGGCTAAAACCTAAAATTTTACCCATTTTACAATTAACAGCTAATTTCTTTCCGTTACCATATCAAGAGAGATTTTTACTGTTAACCTTTTTTGCAACTTTTTATTTCTTACGGCCAAATTTTTGGCCGTTCTATGGCTAACGTTAAACCCATGGAAATACTCGTTACTGATTGTGGATGATGTGTGTGATACGCTACGAATTGTTCAGTGTGCATAAGCTTCTTGTATACGCCGGTGGTTAGACATCAGCCAAATTCTCTTGAGACTGCAGTGTCGAGGGAGGCGAAAACGTGGCGTTTCCAGATTCCAGAGTTGTGGAATCATGCGGATAAAGTTATTACTTGCTCTGAAAACTCTCCATATTTAGGTTTGCAATAACAGAGGAAACCGGAATGTAGTCGGGATGTCGCGATCCACATCGAAAACGATAACAATTCGAGACAAACGATTACACTCCTATCACAAAATGTCATGAGTATTATCAATTTAATCTTGTTGCAACTGAACAACTTTTATCCACACTTTTTTTTTGCGGGTGTGATAATGAAGAAAATTTAAAGTTGAACTTCACCTTATCATCAATTATCTTGTGCCTTTTCCTTTTCTTGCAGATTCTGAACACGCGCCATCATATTCTTGCTGAAAGAACTTCAGGGTATTTGATAAACTTGATCTCTAAGGACATGGTCCTGATTATTCAAGTTTTCTCTAACCTTAAATCGCTTTCTGCTCCTCTGGAGATCCCGTTTTTTCTCTTTTGTGGAACTTTGTCGGCTGGCAAACATTTGGAGGTGTGATCTTTTCAATAGCTCACATCTTCTGTCAAGTGAATTTGGCAAACGTTTTCAAAAGTCTTCAGGACAAGGCCGCCAAGATGACTGACAAGAGACTGCGTCAAATGCATGACGTCATTTCTGGTATACGTGTACTAAAAATGAATGCTTGGGAATGATGCTTTCATGATTTGGTTTCCGAAGTTAGGAGGTATGAGTTTCCTTGTAAAAATTAAACAGTTTATGGTTCGTATATGCTGATAACACCCTGTTTGAAAGAGAAAGAAAATTATAATCACTCGTCATCAGCCTAAGATATAAACACCGTAAGTTCATTTTGCATCTTTATATTCTATTTATATTACGTTCAAATTTGGAAGGCTATGCACCAACGAGAAACTGGAAGTAAGATCCAAGCTAGTGGAGCGAGCAACGCCGGAACCTTTTCAAAGTTATGGAATTTTACAAATCCCTTTTGTGAAAAATTTCGCGGCGAAATGCAAATGAGTTTCAGAGGGGGTTCTGAACAAAACTATGAAAATAACAACGTCAGCCCAACTATCCAAAACAAAACAAATTTTAAAACTTTGTAAATGTTGCATCTGCTTTAAATCCTAGCCTTACCTGGGTCTTGATTTTACGTGAGGTAAGTTTGAGGTCCTTGTGAACCGCGGGTGATAAGTCCTATAATAGAGACAATAACTTATGTTATTATTAGAGAAAAATTATGTTAAAAACCTTCGTTGGTTAGTTTATAACATATCGATCCCAAACTTCAATGCAAAGTTACCAACTCAAGGGTTCTCTTTCGAGCAAAGATAAAGAATCCTTTCTAGCTGGGCATTTTTCACTAATTCTTTTGCAATTACTTTAATTTTTACCCACATATCAGCGTATTATGCAAAAAAGGATCAGTGAACTTTGGCGCTCTATCACTTCACTGTGAATGAATTAGCGTTTACCACACCATTTGCCACTCACTGAAGCGTGTCTGTGAACGAAAAATTCAACCAAGTATATCACTAGCGAGATACATTTTATTATCATAGCCGCAATGAATGCTGTATCACCAGTGTTTAGATGCTTTTTTCTTTACGAATGTCTTGAGAACATTTATCACGGGATAGTGTTCGGTGGCTCACAGTTTTATATGTATAATTCGCTATTTTTTATGATTAAAAATTTTACTGGCGGGAAAACTCATTCATGCAGAAAGAATAATCCCTCATCAAGACTTTGTAGTCTATATACCACCTATGCCCGCTTCATACACCTTCCATGCGAAAAAAAAATTTGCATCCTACAGAACAGTTTGATATTAGTTATACACCCCTATGGAAAGGCCACTGGACCTATTTGAAAACCTGGAATGATGTTTTTCTTAAATCCTTTCATAAACGAAGATTTTGGAAATGCCGCCTCCTCTTTATACCCCAGCCTGAATGTAGGTGTCGTAGCCTCTTGATGGTTTGAATATACTTCAGAATAGCTTGACTGTTGTTCTTTTCGGTTGTTTAACCGAGAGTATTCTCCCCAACCCCCTCTACTTACCTCATTTGCATTTAACCTAGTTTTAGTCACGGTTCATAATTTGTTGTGATAATCTGCTAGCCTTTGTCTTTCCAATTGGAAACCTTGACCGAGTGTGATAAAGAGTCGTAAAAATAGAAGTGTGTTTCAGTTGATTAATTCGACGTCCCTACACACACACACTGTTGTTACAGTGAACAAGAGATCATCAAGGCTGTTGCTGAGCTGGTAAGTACGTTTTGAACTTTCGTGGGAGATGTACAATAATGATATTGACAACAACATAAAATCCTTTCTGTGAGTGTGACAGACCGTTGCAGTTGAGAGTTGTTTATCAGTGGAGGTCAGCCTGTATGTAGATTTAGAGCCCTCTACGGGAAATGACACGATATAAAGCAAAAACTGAAAACTTCATGTTTTCATTACCCTTCGCGTTGTGTGGCGCATTTTATTGTGTACAAAATGGAGATTTCGGCGGGCTGGATTATATTTTAGCTCGTTCTTACGCTCTCTTTATACCCCAGCCTGAATTTAGGTATCGTTGCCTCTTGACGGTTTGAACATACCTCTGAATAGCTTGTTCTGTTGTTAAGTTCTATTCTTTTTGTTTTTTTAAGTTCATAATTTCTCAATGCCCTTCGATGTTGTAATAATAATAATGCAGTTTACGTTCCATGGCATAAATATGCTTTGGGCCCCTCTCAGCGTTCATTTTAACCCTCACACAACAGCTCGCGTTAAAATGACACTCAGTCGGGCTTAAAAAATAACTCATGCTCGCCAACATAAACTCTATGGGCTGGTTTTTTTAAAAAAAGTTTAGCCGTTGTTTAGCGAATCGAAACCGCGTCCTGAACAATTCTCAATTTGGCTAGACCTTGCATCTAAACATCTATTTTTATGAATGGTGTCAAGACGGCCAAAAGCTAACAGTTGAAGGATATTTACTTTATTGAATTACTTTATCTTACAGATAAAGCGTTAGGCCCACTGATTTCGTAAAACCATGGTTTAAGTTAGACCTCGTGTTAATTATCAGCCCTATTGGTGTACTACAAGATATTTTGCCACGTATAAATGGATGTCAGTTAGTGCATGACTAATGCTCTTTGAAACGCGTGATTAATTAGGGGAAGGCGTCTGGAATGTCACGGAAAAAAAATCACCTTCTTTCATTTGCCATGTACAGAAGCTAAAAACCAGTTAGACTCGAACTCGTCCATAGGAGAATCTTACTGTCTCAGTTCGCGTGTCGTGAGTCATACGCAGTTCTTGTCGTGGGTAAGTTGTTGCATTTCACGGCTGAATAATTTATGTGAAATTACAATGCGATCGTCTCTTCTCATGCTTAGTGCAGTTAAGAAAAGCGTAACAAATTCGGGAAAGGTGGCAATTTGTTAGCGCTATAGAAGCTAAAAAAATGGCAAAACAAATAATTCTGGTATCAGATAAAAACCGGCTGTTAAGGATGGCTTTGACTGTTCGACAAGCCTTGTAATCCAGCCTTTATAAACTTGTGTAAGGGTGCAACTGTTCTATAAATTGATAGCCGTTAAGCAACCAGAGCACGACAAACGAGAGTTTCAGCAATTTTTCCCACAACCGGATTCTGATAGCTTAAAGGAAAGAAAATGATATATAGATTTAGCCAAGCCTAAAAGCGGAGCTCTTGTTAGTGTATTTTCCCTCATTATAATAAAAACTGTAATAAAACTCTTCAGCACTGGCTGTAGAAGAGTTTCTTCAAGGGGATCAAGAGACCAGTCCGGGGGGTGAGCAGGGAAGGGAAGAATTGGCGAGGTCTGGACTTGCGATAAAACGCATGCTAGTCAGCGGTATCCTCAAGCAGCTGAGGACCTTCGTTGTTGTTCCTGATGATTTGAGCAAATTTTCGAAGATAGAGAATCTTTTTATCTTCAGAGGAAGAGTGCGATGTCAGCATCAGTTGAAATTATATTCTTTTGAGCGTGACTGATAATTTTGGTTTGGGAAAATGAGCCAAAATTGAAAGGAACGACGGTAAACTACTTCGAGTTTAGACATCACCAGTCGATTGATCAAAGAGTATACACGTGATAACTATGAATTAGTAAATCAAGATGCCAGAATCGTATGGGCTTCGCTTATATCTTCTCTTGAAGTTGCCAGGTATGACTGCTTGCCCCACCATTTTTTCCCTAACGTTTCAACCTCTTCTGTTTCGCGTAAAAATTAAAAGAAAAGTCATTTTCAACTCGTGTTTGAACCTGTAATTTCTTAAAACTTTTCCTTTTTGGATATTTTGATTGTCCTCTGGCTGGAAATACACGGCGTCTTTTTGAGATTCTTTCTGTTATTTGATTTGGTAACCTCTGCTGTAACTACTTATAATGTAGGTTTCTTTAAGCCAACTGGCTATGATCTTAGCAACTCTAGCTAATGAAGTACGAAATTTGTCTAATATATTTCTTGTGCTGCAAAAGTTTCCTATAAAAGAAGACAAGCTAGAGCTAAAATGTCATGATTAACACTTGATGACGAAGAGAGAATTAGGATTCGATCATAAAGACATGAGTGGAAATCTTGAGATAATACCTGGATTTCATTTTTACATCACAGTAGTCAATTCCAAACATCAATCAAGTTTTCTCTTTAGATTTAAATTTGAGTTGATGTTGTTATTGGCTATATTAAATGGATTGAAAATTTTTTGATGGTATTTTCTCATGTTTGCAAATAGTTGAATTTACTGGAAAGTAGAGTTATTGCAACATGTTAACATGAAACACAACAATAAATTTTATTCATATGTAAAAAGTCTTCATTTGACAATCTACTGGCAAGTCGTTGTTTCATATTTCAACCCAACCATCTTCCACAATTTATAAACACCATTACAAAATAATTAGTCAGGGAAACATACACCATGTTTGAATTTTCATATCCATAGTAGGCGAACAGGATTGAGGAGGGTGTATGTGGAAATAGGCTCTCTTGTCTGTATTGTTAGTTTGCTAATCACTCCTGTGGCCAATGTTTTGATGAGGTTGGTCTGTCAAGGTATAGGAACTGAGGATTTTAGTCGGAAGTGACTTTTTTCAAACCTGGAAACTATCATCGTGAAAGCCATACTTTTGCCTGATAACTCATTCTCATTCTGATAAACTAGTTTTAAGAAAGATACAATATTTTATTACAAACATTTGATGCATAGACTGTGTACAAATATTTAATTTAACTATACTTTTATAGCCAATACCAATCTCTACGCATGATGAAATGTCGGTAGGATCAATGGAAATTAACGTACCAAGCATCTGCAAGATTTGATGTAGTTATTTTAATTACATGAATATTAACTGACACTAGGAGATCTAAGAATATTCAAAAGAATATAAAATTTGTTAGAAAAATTAGGCCATCTTCAGCTTGATCATCCTGTTACATGTGAAAACATCAAATGTTACTCATATATTCAAATACTTGCTTGAATCAAAGTTATAATTTTTTAATAACCTGCTTCCTTTAACCCTTTAATCCCCGATAGTGACTAGCATCGAATTTCCCCTTTCAATATCACCCCTGAATCAAACATTAAGGTTATGAGAATAAAGGCAATAATAATAAACTGAAGAACATCTTGATTGTTAAACAAATTCTCCCTGTCAGCACATAAGGAAATGTATTAAGAACATTGACTCAATTAATTCAAAAGAAAATATCCAAGTAGGTTACAGAAATGGTTCATGAGTTGTAAACTGATAATGCGTTAACAAAACCTCCCTAAATTATGGTGCCGATACGAATTTATCGTTATTAATCACCTATGAAATTCCGAGATTGTACCTCAATGAATTCAACAGAAAATATCCATGAAGGTTACAGAAACGGACTCTCAAAAACGGCTCTCGAATTCAAAAACTGTAAACAACAATTACTTACGCTAACCATGTGCTTACCAGCGTGCTTGTGAGCTCAAGTTGCGAAGACCCCGTTTAATTACGCAATCGCAGCTCAGACGCTGCTTGCAAAATGTGATGACTATCGATTTCAGAGATTGATTCGTCAGTTTCCAGTATTGGGAAAAAAAATCGTATCGCAAGTATGTTCATCATAACCCGAGCAGTAAGTACGCCTCGAGATGTTGAGAGAAGATAGAGTGGCTCCATGTTTTGTGAGACGATTGAAATTATTTCCTGAAGTTAGTACGAATCGAGTAGAAAGCATGAAAACATAGCGCTGAAAGGTACCATGACAAAACAATGAAGTTCACTCATTCAGCAGTAGAACTAATTCCATATTACCCGTGAGTTTGTTCGCACAACACATTTGCGGTCCGTAATTAAATTCTCTGGGCCCAGTTGTTCGAAGGTTGATTAGTGCAAACCCAAGGTTAAATTTTAATCTGGATTTCCTTTATTCCTTTATTCAAATGCCTTTTCAGGATAGTTTGCGGTGTTCTTTTTAGAGCATCAAATAATCATATTCTAGACAAAAAAAATTCGACTGAATTTTCGTTTACAGCTATCAAATCTGAATCAGATTTCACCTTAACCTTGGATTATCTTAACCTAGCTTTGAACAACCCGGCCCAGATGTTTGACGGGTTCTCACATGAAAATATTGTCAAAATCAAATTACCGCGTCAGACTTAATGTAAACATGGACATCACTGACTCAATCTCATTTTATTTCAATTTTGGGAAAGACTACCACTTCGTTCTTAGGCTAAAACAACACTTCTTCGACAAAGCGCGATTTTTTTTGATGAACAGAGTAAATCCTGCGATAGTTGACTGAAGAAGGAAAGAGGTAGAAACTTGTGCTCGCCGTTCGCTATCATTTGAAAGCTTTCTAGATAAGATAACTTCTTTTCCATTAACACCACGACTGTATAGAACATTCCAAAGGACAGAACAAGAAATACCTTGAAGAATACGAACACTTTGAAATGTTATTCGGGCTATGAACCGGCGCGAGGGATTTTATGATGAAGGCCAAAGCCATTGTTTTACCGAAACGTGATTTTAATTATAAACTGAAGCTAGTATCAAACGACGATTGTTAAAATATGTTTGAATTTTTCTGAGCCTTAGCGTTAGAGAAAACCCAGATATGACACGACTTACCTCCTGGTCTTTCTCGGATCCTTTGTAGTTCGCTCTTTGTTGATGATCTCTTCTCAGTCTGTTTTCAGGAGGGTCTTTGTATTTCCTTCTCGCTTTGCTCTTCGCTAGATATTTGTCTTTTTACTTATGTCTTTTCTTGTTCTCTTTCGCGTTCCTTTCACCTTATTCTGCCTATTTTGGTGTCCTCTCTAACTTTCTTGCGCATTTTTCTCGACTCGCTTTACGTCTTTTACTTCTTGTTTTTTTTGGTCGCTCGGTCTCTTTCTTTTCATCCTATTTTCACTCAAAACCCTCTCTCCAGAAACTTGAATCATAACAAGTTCCTCCCGTTGACAAAACTTTAGCTCTGCCGGTATTCTTGTTTTGCGAGTTTATTAGAAATTGCAAAATACGGAGAATTACAGTTCAACTTCAACCTCACCAGTTTGATTTCGCGCTCAAAATGCGGGTTGCAAATTATTTGCTTACGCGGCTTCACATCCACTAGCCCACGTGAAGCCCTCGCGCAATGCCTAGCCGTGTGCGCGCGGTACGCTACATTAAAGCTCGACACTCGAGTATGCGCACTTCATTGTCATCTGCCAGTGTTTTCTGGCGCACACTAATGGGGTATCCAAGTTATGCGCGCAATCGCTCCTACGCATTACCTTCTCCCTCGCCCTTACACTACGTAATGGCTCAGATAGTGCCCGTGGTACAGTTGGCCGCGCATGCTAAAAGTAGCACCTTATACGGTCAGTCGTACGGTCGCTTGTCCAAATTTTTTCGGTTTAATGGGTTACTACTATTTCGTATAATTACGGGGCTACGCTACGCGTGCTTCGCGCGCTGTGAGCTCTGCTACAAAAAAAGCAATAGAGTTGATGTTAGCGGGTATGAATTATCTCTGGACGCGACACAGAGTCATTTCAGCCCGAGCCGCTAGGCGAGAGTTAAAAGGATATTTTTGCCGAATGGCTTAACATTGTGTTACCACTATTATTGCAATTGTGATCACTTTGGAGGGCATTGAGAAAAAAAATAAAAAAACTGGAAAGTGATAACAAAAGTGACAATAATACAGGGTGAACAATCACGTGAACAATCGAGCGATGTGTAATACATTTTTGCCCGCTAAAAAAATTAGTCAAAAAAATGCGCCATAATGCCCGGCGGTTGTGCCCATAAAAGACGTAAAAGACGCGTAAGGCAAAACACTCGCTACAGAAATTGCTACCAGGCTAAAAAGACGGCGGTAGGAGGTCTCATAGACGGCGGGAGAACTTCGGTAACCGGCGTTTATTGAAATCGGCGCATATGTCAAAACGTTTGTTGATATGTTACGTTGTACTTTGGTTAAAGAGTCTTTAGTCTGTTTTGAATTCGATGCTTTTTGAAAACAAAAACTATTATATAAGTTAACCTGTTTTGAATAGAAATCAACACAATAGGAATTCCTAACTGTTCCTTTCTCCAACATGCTTGAGTGGATTGTCTTTTAACTCTTTTGATCGTCCACTCAATTTTTTTCTTGCTCATATGTTCAATTTCAAACCATTGCACACTTTTTAAAGAACTGTCTGTGCTGGTAAGCTTTCTGTACCTTCGTGCTGCGTGATTTGTCTGCCTCATTTAGTTTATTACACACTGCACGCTTTGAAGACATTTCAGCTATTAATTGTGGAAAATTCTTTTAACAAACTCTGTAATTGGTATTAACCACTTGTCTAACGCATGCTGTAATAGCTGTAGTAACGTCAGCTTAACGGCTCGTTGATGATGTTTAACAGTGGAGTGAATGACCAAAATCGATACCATGGCTAGTGCTAAAATGTCTGCAAAAATAAGAAACTGATAATTGAAATAAAACGATTGGAACGAAACATTTGAGGCCCAAACTATCTACAACATTTGGTTGCGTGAAAATTGCGCTGCGAATGTACAAACCACGATACATAAATTTTGTCAAAGGAATGCTTATAATGTGCCTAAGTTGTGATCATAGCGGACGCATTTCTCCCATACTTAATGGGAAAAAATGAACGTAGATAAATGATGCGCTGACATACATCGATTGCTGGTCGCAAAATTTTCACAGATACCTCCTAGGTCAGTAAATTAAAGCAAATATGTCCTTAAACACCTTCAGGCATCTTCACCATTGCCTCACAATAAATAACTATAGTTTCCACCATGCACAAAATCAAGTCAAAGCGAACACAAAAGATGTCAAAAAATACTTCATGCCATTGAGGTAACAGCAAAAACTTAAAATGGCTTAAAACTGGTTCTTCTTAAAGCATGCGTTCGGCAGCATGCTTTTCTAAAGGATGCAACAACACTGTTTACGTTTGTGAACGTTAGGTTACTCGAAAATGCCAATCGTATCTGATGGCTTGGCCAATAAACCTGCGCTTATCGTTTTTTCATTTAACAGCTTCGCGAACGTCACTAACAGATAGGTTTTGAGCGTAACACCACACGTCTTTATTTATAACTTTAATGGAAAAGATCTCTAAAAAGATACGACAGCTATCGGTTGCTTGACGTTAATGGCTGATGAAAGGAAAAGTGCCAAAGTGGGTTTACCTTTGCACCGTTACATTTGCCCACGACAAGCAAAGATTGGTCTCGTCCTCCTTCCCCTGCCTTTAAAGTGATGTGATGAGATCGAGCTAGCAGTGTAGTTACAGGACAAGTTAAATTAGAGAAACACAGGGGCTTGTTATAGAAATTGTTGATCCTAGCTCCATTAGGCGACTCTACTGGTCAATTAGTTAATATCCCTTGGTAGGATAGCGGCCATTTTACAAGCAACAGTAAAGATACATAATAATTATGAAATGAGTACATGTGTCTACTGTGGATGTTATTTGCAACGTAGGTAATAAAAACGTTGATAGCGTGATAAAAGTGTTTCTCAACCATTGACTCCCTGGGCTACGCCGCTGAAATCATTCTCATTTCACTAAATGAAAAAGATTATTCATGTTATCAAGGTTACAGTTGTTTAGAAATGACGTGAGGGCGAATGAAAATTTTTGAAATTAGTATGAGACAGTTGATCTTGCGTATAAACTTTTGAGGAAATTACAATTACAGAAATCTCAAAAATATTACATTTTGTTCAAACAATGGCGGTTTTTAATTATTGGGAATCGACTGGGGTTAGCTCACGAAAGCACTTACAAATTTGCGTCCTTGCACGATAAAGGCGGCTCCGAAAAACTTCGGAACGCAATCTCTTTTTTTCGGCTTCCGAAAGGCACGAACAGGCCGAATGGTGAAAACAACGCTTCGAAAAATCGGCCGCCTTTGATCTTGTTATTTGACAGCTACACCTCTATATTAACAAGAACGCCGCAAAACTGCATTCAAATCACTCAGATTAGGACAGAAGATGCATCCCGTGTTATCTTATGCTAACGATGGCTTCGCATGTGGACATCTCAATTCGTGTTCCGCTGAACTCTTCGACTGTGGCTCCCTCATCTCGAAAGTCTCCAGCCATTATGCTTCCGCACAGACGTCCCCTCGAAACAGTCTACACTCAACCGGTTTCCTTTTCTATATCCCGAATTTTGGGATTTGAAGGCAACCCCTTTCAGCCTTCGTCATCTTCGCTGCTTCCTGGTAAGTTGAGTTCCTTATATGTTAAGGTGAAGTCTATTTTTTAACGATTAAGCATTGTTGGTTGACTATCAATTTGAATTCTATTCACGAAGAAAAGTGACCCAAAGTTCAAGGCCGTAGCTGGTTGTATTTTCAGTCATTTAAGCGTCATAGGGAAATGTTTGACAGTTAAGAATTACTCTCTATGCCCTCTAAAGTAGTTTCCTTAGAGTAACACAAAAGAATACCATCTCCCTGTAATACATGACCTTAAGAGCTAATTTACTTGGAAAGTGTAGAACACACAGACGATAAGTTTTGCAAGTTAATTCTGGTTTATCGGATTAAACTTGTCGAAGTTGTGTTGTTGGAATCAAATATCTGAATGCTAACCTCCTTGCCTTGCTTCAAAAATGCTTGTAGTTCGTTTATGAAATGCTAGATATATAGCCATGAGTCAATATTTTACCTTGTGTCCTGTTTCAGCTTATGATAAGTTAACCAACGAGAGCAGTAAAAGAAGCTTCAAAGAGGACAACCGACAAACCTACGAACACTCGCCGAGTGTTGACACCGACAAACTGGGCACTTCCTTAGATAGCGAAACAAGCCATTCCAGTCCATCCACTGCGCGGCCAAAGATGAAAAGGAAACAACGAACAATGTTTTCACCTCTGGAAGTCTGGGAACTGGAGAGAGTGTTTGCACAGAGACGATATTTAATGCCGGAAGACGAAGACGAATTGGTACAAAAACTTGGAGTCACTGCAAGGAACGTACGGGTAAGATTTATTTACTTAATTTTTTGGATACCGTATTAAAGGCTTTTGCTTTATGCCGTTTAATCTGTTTGCCGAAAAGATTTAGTAATATTTATTTATGTACGTATACGGCTGTTTCGGAGAAGGTTATTGAGAAAAAAAGCATAAAAGTACAAACAAAAACCCCGAAAGGCATTGGGGGCAGTTCTTAGGTCACAGTTGCTTGAGCTCTGGGTTTCAGGAAATCTCAGATAACGTCACTGTAAGGACAAGGCTTTGCCGGTTTGACGAGTTTAATTATTTATTTCAGTTATTCAAATTCATTGAATACCAGATACCCAGATAACCTTTTCGAGATTGTGGCATGTACTTCCGTCTTTTTTTTTTTTCGACAGCCTCTCTCGAAACAGTTGTATGTCTATAAATATCTTGCCGAAGCACTTGGTTCCTTTTTATCGTTTTTGCACATTATTAAACTTACATTAACGAAAACCAATAAGAAGCCTTCCCTCCAGCCGCATGACACAAGTTGTGAACGATTATTTACCTTAATATTTTCAGTTCTGGTTCCAAAATCGTCAGACCAAGTTACGGAAACAAGCAAAAGCCTCAGTTGATGTCCATCGAACCAGCCCATGAACTCACATAAACATGCGGCTTGCTCAAGCTGTAATATGAAGTCAGCGGCCAAACAGAAGGAACATACATGAAAAACCAGTCGAGACAGTTTGAAGAGTCCTTAGCAGTCGCAAAGAGGATACCCAAAGCAGGGCAACTTCACAAACTGCCACGTGGTAACCAGCAACCAGCAGGCAAGCCAATAGAAATTCAACACTGCTGCGAAGGAGAATAGCGTGAGAAATCATCAGGAAACTGGGAGACGAATTTTGCAACTTTTTTCCTCAAACAGAGAGAAAAATTGAAATTTTCAATAATTTTTGGGCAACGAAAATAGGATATTCTAATAATCCTAAAATCCTCTATTTGATTCGTATTTGAATTTTACGATTTCAAAATGTATGCAATGGTCAAGTAATAATTACATGGACTTTTGTTGTGCAATTTTGGTCTGGAATCGAACCTGTGATTTTGCGATCCTTACAATCTGAATGAATCTCGCTAGTGCGATTTATTTATGAATCGCACTACTTTTCGCTCTAAATCGCATCTTTTCTCAGCCAATGAGAAACCCTTCCTTCAACCCAGTAACCAATCAGATTTCTAGGCACGTTAAAAAAAAGAACAAATAATATGAGAGGAAAAAAAAAGACCACTATGGCGACTCTTTACAAACCAGCTCAATACTGAATTAATGACCTATTTTTACGGAACAAAAAGTCCTGTAGTTTGAGATTTCAAAATAGATAAACTGAATTGGTAATTGAACTTTTTGTTGAGCCTTTTTGGTCCGAAATTGTACTTGTGATTTCAAATCTTATCACATGCGGAGCAAAATTACTGAATGCTGATTGGCTGAGACAGAGGGCATTTTTTCCTAAATCACGAGGGCTCTTTTGGTAATTAAGACGGCACGACTACTTGATGCTTACTGAGCCCTTTTGCGGAAAAAATGTATCGATTGCAATTTAACAGAGTGAAGCTTTGTAACGTTGTTGCTTGTGTTTGAGAATAAAATGTCCCTTGAGTCTATCGGTCAGTTACGTTTGTTTCGACATTGAAAGAGCCAAATAATGGCGCACAGACATATCCCGATTAGAATGTGCATTAAAGATGACCTTTCTAACTTACTTCACAACAGAATCCTATAAGAGTAAAAGTGCTGATTTCTGAGCAAAAAGTAAATGTATAGGTAGCTTCCTCGGTAAAATTTCATATCGGAAGCTAATAGTGATCCGTTGTTTGACATATTTGCGGTTTGAGGAAACGTCTCTCCACCCGTAATTTGTTCAAATAGGGCACGGTGAGGTATTTTCTCTTGATTCTAATTGTTACTACCAAAAATTGAATTTATAATCCTGGAATGTATGGCCTTTTACGAAATGCGCCTTTGTTTTGCAAAGCGGGTGCTTGCGAAGCCTTTGATAAAATAATGTTTTTTTCCAGTTTAACTTGTGCTTAAGAAAATGATAGATTTTTTTCTCAAAAGAGAGGCTTCTCACTTGGCTCCACTTTAAAAGTTTGCCTTTCTGGACCTTGTATTTAGCTTATTAATCATTAATTTTAATTTACAGGTTTAACATGCTGTGAAACTTGAAACGTAACTAGTGAACCTAAAAGATCAGCAAAAATATCAATAATATTACGAGCAGCAGCATCAACCCTGAATTCTTAGTGAAGTGAACAAAACAGTCAGAAGTGAACCAGGTACCAAACGAGGTACAAACCACACATGGAATACGAAAAGCTGGTACCGGAACCTGGAGAAAGAACTTCAATCTGTGGCAGACTAACGTTTGGCTTTTTGTCGAGTATTATCGAAACAGGAAACAAACGACCTCTAGAGGAGAACGATATTCCTTCCCTAGATGTTGAAAGCACCAAGTATTTGACTGAAAAACTGGAATTAGAATGGAAAAACGAAGTTGGAATCGGCAGAGTCCGAAGTTCTAAACCTCGTTTGAGAAACGCAGTCCTAAAGGCCGTCGACAAATATTTACTGTCTCTGATTGTGCTACTAGCAATTTTAGAGACATTATGTAAGATGATTCAGCCTGTCCTACTAAGCTTTCTCCTGGCTGAGATGTCCTATAATTCTCCCGTCGATGTGGGGATACTGCTTGTTTATTCAACACCAATCTGTGTAAGCTGTTTTATTCAAACGTTGGTTTCCCAGCAATGTGGTTATGCCATGTTTCTGATGGCAGTTCACGTTAAAGCCTCCTTGATTGGCATAGTTTACAAGAAGGTAGGTGGATGATGAGTTTTTGCCGCTTAAATGTCAAAATAAGTTAAGCTTAACCAGCAAAGAAACTGTGAATAGATGTCGCATCTGTCATCTGATAAGCGAATATGTATTAGGCTAAAACCTAAAATTCTATCCATTTTACAATTAACAGCTAATTTCTTTCCGTTACCATAACAAGAGTGATTGTTACTGTTAACCTTTTTTGCAACTTTTATTTCCCACGGTCAAATTTTTGGCCGTCTTATGGCTAACGTTAAACCCATGGAAACCCTCGTTACTGATTGTGGATGGTGTGTGTGATACGCTAAGAATTGTTCAGTATGCCTAGGCTTCTTGTATACGCCAGTGGTTAAACATCAGCCAAATTCTCTTGAGACTGCAGTGGCGAGGGAGGCGAAAACGTGGCGTTTCCAGATTCCAGATTTGTGTAACCATGCAGATAAAGTTATTACTTGCTCTTAAAACTCTCCATATTTAGGTTGGCAATAACAGAGGAAACCGCACTGTAGTCGCAATGTCGCAATCTATACCGAAAACGATAACAATATGACTCCTGTCACAAAATGTCATGATTATTATCAATTTTATCTTGTTGCAAATGAACAACTTTTATCCACATTTCTTTTTTGCGGGTGTGATAATACACAAAATTCAAAGTTAAACCTCACCTCATCATTAATTATCTTGTGCCTTTTCCTTTTATTGCAGATTCTGAACGCGCGTCATCATATTCTTGCTGAAAGAACTTCAGGGTATTTGATAAACTTGATCTCTAAGGACATGGTCCCGATTTTTCAAGTTTTCGCTAACCTTAAATCACTTTCTGCTCCTCTGGAGATAATTCTCGTTTTCTCTCTTTTGTGGTACTTTGTCGGCTGGCAAACATTTGGAGGTGTGATCTTTTCAATAACTCTCATCTTCTGTCAAGCGAATTTGGGAAACGTTTTCAAAAGTCTTCAGGACAAGGCCGCCAGGATGACGGACAAGAGACTGCGTCTGATACATGACGTCATTTCCGGTATACGTGTACTAAAAATGAATGCTTGGGAATGGTGCTTTCATGATTTGGTTTCCGAAGTTAGGAGGTATGAGTTTCCTTCTAAAAATTAAGCAGTTCATGGTTTATATATGCTGATAACACCTTATTTGAAAGGGAAAGAAAATTATAATCACTCGTCATTAGAGCTAGAAAAACAGCCTTAGATATAAACACTGTAAATTCATTTGCATCTTTACATTCTCAAGTTTGCTAACCATGACATGGAAGTTTTGCGGCATTAGTTTTTGCTGCGTTCAGGTACAGTCCTTCATTCACAAAACTTAAGCCCCAAAAATTAATGAAAAATTCAGTCATCAAAACGTGGCAGTGCGGTATATACAATTTACTTGCAACTTAAGTGTCAGTTCGTATTTTTTCTTTAAGACTCACTCAATGTATCCATTAACAATTCTAACAAATTAACTCGGCAAGGTGGATAACTTTTAATACTGCGCCACTAACCTTGTTAAAAAAAAATTGTCCATAACCTTTTTCTTGGTTGTTTCCAAAGATTTTCCTCTCCGTCAATTGTTTATTTTTTGGACGCTATTTTAGCCTCAGGTATCATTCTCCGATGTTAACACTCTTTAAAGAACTCCCTGAGCCTTTAAGGAATCATAGAAACTTGACTTTGAAGCAAAACATTAATTACAGAATTTGAAAGTAATGTTATGAGCGAGATTTCCCATTGTAGGTCTTTCAATAATTAGGCTAACATCAAAGAAATATGAGACAAACTAGCTTAGCAGGCTGTTACTGGGAAGTACTTGCCTCTCGTTTAGTAAATCCATCTAAATACACCATCAGTCTAGCACTATTTCAATCAAATTCATAAGTTCCAGAAATCTATACCTTCCGATATATACCTCTGGAATGGAATGGCGTATGGAAACCCGTATAGTGCGCATTCCCTCATAAAAGGCAAAGC